GTCTAAACCTGGGGAATTTTATCCCGAAGCCTAAGAAGGGATAAGTCATCGCCTAATACGCGGTGCGGGTTGCCTTTTCCCTATAAGAAATGGTTAAATCTATGTATTCAAAATCATAGCATCAAGTCTAAGAAAAGCGATTTTCTTAGCACAACGTTACATGTGAGACGGGTTTAATAATTCACATGCTAGTCCGATTTCAAACGGTAATCGGTAAAGACATTTCAAACCCGTTGATGGCTGGGGGTTTGCCAAAAATCCCATAAACCTTGTCATTCAGAATAAATACAGAAATATCGCAAAAGAAACAAATGCGGAGTTTCTATTAATAGATCAAGCTAAAAGCATACAATAAAAAGCTCATCATCCTGAAGACAGTCGGCGGCTAAGAACATGAGATTTTAACTTAGAAAGCTTGTCTATGTAACTCTGTTCTAGAGTCGGCGGCTAAGAACATGAGATTTTAACTTAGAAAGCTTGTCTATGTAACTCTGTTCTAGTTCTACTCGCAGGTCAGCTCGGATGGATTCTTCAGAATTGCTCAAGATCCTCGCAGCTTCATTCTTCAGCTCCATTAATCTCGCCTGCGTAGGTCCTAATCTCTCAAGCATCTGCTCGCGAGACCTCTCTAGTCCAGCCAACTCTTCCGCCATAATACCAACAGATTCCTCGGCAAGCTTCAAGGCCTTCCTCAATTTATCTACCTCCTCACGCTGAGAGCCCAAAGAATTGAGTAACTCGGCTCTGTCAGTATCCTTCCTGGCAATACCAGCCATCAGCTGTGCGACGGAATGCTCGTATGACTGAAGTTCATGACCGATGGAAGATCTCAAATCATGCCACTGCGACAACCTATGCTCCAGCTGAGAAGACACGAAAGAAGAAGCTCCGCTAGCCTGTAGCTCCTCCAACTCCCGGAGTTCAGACTCCAGGACAATAAAATCAGCAGCGAGAGAGTCAGCTAACTCCGAGTATCCGTCATCTCGGATCATCGTCATGTAGCGAGAAAGGGAACGTCTGTACTGATCAAAACCATATCCTTGGTGAAGA